ATTCCATTCATAAGTCATACTTTGTTGAGTCGTTCCCCAATCAATGGATACTTATTTTATTTCCCTGTGTTTTTTTTGCTACCACAAAAAAAGCTGCCATAAATATTTTGGCACATGGGGGACATTTCCTTTGTTCTCATTGGGGTGAATTCCCAGTAGTAATGATTTTTTTAAAAAGTGTATTACTACAATTTATTTATATCACTTTAGTTTCTGAATATACCCCTCCCTCTGCTCTACTCATCAAACCATACTGTATATTAAAAAGTAAAGCAGAAACAAAAATGCAGTTCAGCAAAACTGATTAGCATCTTAGCTGAGTCTATGCAGTGTTCCACACCCATTGCCCCCTCCACTCTTCCATTGAAGGAAAAGTTATGAATTTTCTCATCTGTTCTTTGGGAACCAACTTTGACTATAGATTTCCTTGGTAGAACTTTGTTTCCTCTTCCTATAAGGAAATAGAAAGGTGGGAATAAATGAAGGAGGTGAAGACTGCTGTTATGGTAGTTAAGGTAAAAAGCTGGGGTTGCTATTTACAATCTCTTACCTCTAGAGAAAGCATATTTTTGGCAACTTTTGTTCTAAGTGGTACTTTATAGAGTGTTCTGTTATAATGTTGCATGAGTGTAGAAATTGAGCTGACTCAAATTTGCACAATTTTCTGTTAAGTGTCTTTATAAGCAAAGTAAAGCTTTAATTGTATATCAACTTACTTTCACACATTCATAACCTTTTGTTATCTAAAAGGTAGGATTTGTTCTTTGCATTATAAGATATATAGAGCTTGTTAAGTTTAGTGAAAACCAGGCTTGTCCATGAAATTGAGGTTTTGCAGGTCATTTTTTCATTGATTTGAATTTTAGAAATAAAGAGTTAATTTCTTAGTGCAGAATTTGATGAAAAATAGGACAGTTCACTTTTAAATGTTTGCACAGTGAGATACAGGACTGTCTTTAAAAAGGCTACTCAAGTGTATAGAGCACCAGCCCTGCAGTCAGGAGGACATGAGTTCAAATCTGGACTCAGACCAACACTCGACACTTACTAGCTGTGTGACCCTGGGCAAGTCACTTAACCCCAGTCGCCTTAAAAAAAAATAAAAAGGCTACTCAGTATTTTTTTGTAGTTATATTTGATTTTAGCGTGCTACTTGCCCGGAGGTGTAGTAGAGGCCTCTCTACTGCATGGTCAGGTAATAACTCCTCTCCCAACAATACTGGGAAGTAGTATTAATACCAAACTACAAATTAAGGAAATTGAGAGATTTGCCCCAGGTCACACATCAGTTAAAGTGGTAGAGTTGGGACTCAAGCCCAAGTCTTCTGACTCCAGATCCAGTTTCCACACAGCATTGCTTCCTAGAACAGATGCAGTACTGAATGATTTTATAGAGGTGGTCCCTATACATACATTGTTAGAACTGTAAGGTACCCCTTAGAGATCAAGTAGAACAACCCCCACATTTTACAGATGAGCAGGTTAAGTGACTTTATTACATAATAACTTAGCTAAGACTTTAGCCAAGGTATAGGTTCCCTTTCCTCTGTATTCTTTTTTTTTTTTTTGTGAGGCAGTCGGGGTTAAGTGACTTGCCCAAAGTCACACAGCTAGTACGTGTCAAGTGTTTGGTCTGAGGCTGGATTTGAGCTCAGGTCCTCCTGACTTCAGGGCTGGTGCTCTATCCCCTGCGCCACCTAACTGCCCCCCAATAGACCTTCTTTAAAGGGTTAATTGAACATCCTGTATAGTACTGTACTGTTGACTGCCCACCACCGCACCTCATGGATTTAACCCCTGGTCAAGTGCATCTGACAGCACACCATCTCAAATTATAGTAAATAATTACTCTAAGGATGGTTGGCAGATGCTTTAAAGGAACCCAGGCTTTTAGTCACTGAACAGATTTTTTTGTTTTTTTGTTTTACCCTCTCCTTTTAACAGACAAAGCAGAATTAATGCCAGAAATACAACTTTCTATTGAAAGTCTTCCTGGAGAGTTTACAGGTGCTAACCATTTGCCGAACCATGGGATTCTTCAACTTTTGAGTTTTTCCCAGCTGTAGTAGATTGTTCATTCTCTCTTAGAATCTTTTTGCTTTGAATTATAGTGAGTTCCAAATGTACTTGCCTTAGTTTAAATGAACTGACAGGTTGCAAAAGGTTCACCATTGATGTAGCCAAATATTTCTTTGGTGCATTGGGGGGGATAGAGAAGAGAAGCTTAATTTTATTACCATGGGTCTATGAACACTTATAAAACACTTTCTATTGGCATGACCTCTTGTGTTGGGGATCTCTACATTAAGGGAAAAAATGTCACAGTAAATTATTGTCGTTCCTGGAAATGGTTCTTCCAGAAGGGAGTTGGAGAAGAAATATGGGAGAAAGCTTGCTGTTCTCCAAGCAGACAAACGCTGGTATCCAGGTAGAAAACTTAATTCTGGAGTCTTTACTTTTAAAGCTTGGCCATCAGTACAATGCAGTCTTTTCATTGCTTTTTTTCTCAGCTGACAGACACATTAACCTTGATGATATCTGTGGTTCCAAAGGGCTTCAAAGCAGGTTAGAATTTCCTGGTGTTTTGCTATGTACTACTTTGAATATTTTTCTTATAAAAAGAATGATTATATATTCACAGAATGACTGATGAACAATTCAAGCAAGTATGTGAAGAAAACTTACACTGGAATAAAAGAGATTATGATGAATTCCTCCTCTCTAGGAGGGGGTTGGTCCCCCCTTCACCCCACCTTCCCTCACAGTTCTGGATTCACTGCCAGGAGACTGGATTCTAGGAGACTGATCTCCTGTTCTTCCAAGTGCCTTTGTGACCTTGGCCAAGTCTCTCCCTCTCAGTTTCTTCACTTGAGGAAGGACTGGACACATTGATCTCTAAGGTTCTTCCCAAATCTAGGGTCCTATTATTCTATGGCCAGTATTGAAAGACAGATCTGATTGGATAATTTGAGATTCATGTTTTTGGTTTGTGTTAAAATTACAACCTGAGAAAAGTATAAGTGGTGGAATGTATGTTTGTACTCTCCTTAAGTTTAGGAATTTTTTGCTTTTGCAGTGTTAAATGTCTTTAATTGGATAGGATAGTGGTATGAAGACATTAAGAATGCCTTTTGAGATACTGTGTCTTCTAAATTTAAAGAATGTTTTATTTTTGTACTTTTGTCTGTGATAGAATCCATGCAGTTAAAACAAATCATAAAGAAGATTGGGTAAGGAATTAGCTTAAGTGTTTGGAGATAAGTGTTTCCTTGACATGATATTGAGTTACTTTGTGACTATTCCTATGAACCATATTCTTATTTATTAATTGGGCAACAACCCTTGCTTCTTCCTTTCCTACCTTTTAGAAAATTTGAATATTAGGGAGAATAAATTAACAAATTTGTTATTCCTTTTTTTTTTTTTTTAAACAAATTTATAAGTGTTTTGAGAGAGGCATCAGTGAATGAAAGGGCTGGCTTTGGAGTCAGAAAGACATAGGTTGAAGTCCTCTTTCTGACACATACTAGCTGTGGAGTCCAAGTCACTTAACTTTTTGGTGTCCCGGGCAACTTTCTTAAGATTAGTAGTTACAAATGGAGTTTCCACATTGAAAGTTGAAGCCACATCTGGATCACCCACCCCATGGAGGAATGGGGAAAGTTATCACCAGAGGTTGGCTTTCAGGGTGATGAGTTTTGGGGGCATAGTCATTGTTCCTAGGTTATTTATCAATCTAGCCATCCATAGTTTGTCTTCTGTGTCAGTAGAGGAGCACCTGAACTGATAAAACCAGGGATCCTGAAGGTTTTCCATGGGATCTCATCACAGTAGATGTGGCCCTGAGCTCTTTTCTTTAGCTCTGGGTGTACTGCGTTTGCCACAGCTGGGTGCTCTTGCCTTGGAAGGGACTTTGTGAAGGACTGTGTGTCACAGCAAGTCTGCCAGGGGAGGGCCAGCCTTAGTTAACTTTGGGGCTCATTACCACGGGGACGGAAGGGAGGCGAGTTTTATTGTCCACAGCTGTTCTTGAAAAGTGGTAGAAGACTTGTAGATCTACCCTGGTAGTATGGTGAGGGAGATAGGAAGAAAATCATCATCCCATTAGAGGAGTTTATATTCTGGGGAAACTAAACATGCCTAAGAGTACTCAAAGAAATTGAATAGTCTTAACCAACTAGGTGTGCATATGTCAGAGCCCTGGTACAGTTATTCTGGCTTAAAATATTGGAAAACTTTGCCTTTTTTTCTGCTATTTTTTGTGAAAATTTGTTTGGGAGGAGGCTAGTGGTGGAGGTGTAAAACTGCATTCTATCAGCTATGATTTTATACTCTTGCCTCAGTGAAGTAGGAACAGAAGCAGATGAAAACTGGAAAGGGAGAAAAAAGAGGTGTGATCACTCTAGTTGGGAGCTTATTTTTTTGGCTAGTAAAAGAGGTTTACAATCTCAGGGATAAATATATAAATCCCTTTCCCCAGTCTTCCTGTTTTTGTATTTTACTTTAAGCAAATAGGAAATATATGAACTCTTGGCTTACAAGGCTCATGAATAAAATGGGGTAGGGAGTGGGGCAGTGGTGATTGTATTATGGAAAGAATCCATCCAAAGGTAAAATTACCTTAAGTAGTGAGTTGCACATGTAAAAATTTGATAGTTTCCTCAACATATTTTAATGAATAACTTCATAAAGCAAGGTACACCTACATATGTTTTAGAATTTGTTTTCTGCACATCCAGTTGTATAATATCGAGTACTCTTCTATAATTCTGTATTTATCATGGTAACTTAGAATAGTAAAGAGTGTATTCATTGTGTTTATGTTGTTTTCCACTGTTAGAATGTAAACTGCAGGTGGGTAGAGACTTGGGCTTTTGTATTCCCAATGCTTATTGAATTGAATTAAATTGATTTCTTTACTCATAGCATTGTGTGATCTAATGCTGTAATGCTGTCAACTAACTAGTTACTCACACACTGGTCTTTTTCCTTTCCTGTAGGTTCTCTGTTGGAATTCACGCCGCACATTTATGGCGATTCTGAGCGTGCAGGCAGACTTCTGCCAGGCTCAGCACAGTGCTTTTGCTGACAAGTGAGCTTGAGGCTTCTATGTGCCATAATTAACATTGCCTTGAAGACTCCGGACACCAAGATTGGCCTCAGAGATATTTGGCATATATCTATATTTTTTTCATATTGGAAGCATATTCCCTTTAACGGCTCCAGCAAAATTAAGTATCAAGAAAACACAAGTGCAGAGCGGGTCTATACTTTCACCTTGCCTCACCAGTGCCTAAATGTAGGAAAGGCCGCTGAAGTTGCAGGCAGTTGGAATTTTGAAGGTTGAAGGTAACCATCTGCAGTCATTGAGGCCCAAGTTGAATCTGAATTCCAGTGGATTCTAAGTAGATCTGCTTATCCTGAAGAAACTCCTTAAGGAAGGAACAAGCTGACCAGAGAAGACACTGATCAATAATAGGCATTTTTGTGGTCTTTTTAATGTTTTCTGCTGTGAAACGTTTCAAGGGTTATTGATTTTCCCCCCCCATTTTCCCATCTCTCTTCCTCAAACACACACACCCACGCATACCTGCTCCTCCCGTTTCTCTCTTTCTCTCCCACGAATACACACTTTTTGTCTGCCATAATGAACCGTCCAGCCCCTGTGGAGATCTCTTATGAGAACATGCGTTTTCTGATTACCCACAATCCTACCAATGCAACACTCAACAAGTTCACGGAGGTAAGAGTGTGGTGCAGTCCACTTTGGGGATTCATTTTGCAGGTTTAAAAACCCATCATAATGAATGCCTTTATAAAGAGGTTCTTGTACCACAAAGCATTTTCCGTCCCTGAGGGATAGCCGTAAGCCTTGTTGGACCTGTTTACAACATAATCTTGGTTTCTAGAACTGGAAGAGGGCTCCCAGACAGATTCCAGTCTAACCCAGTGTGGCCTTTTCTGGGTCTTGCTCTCAAAACAATCACTGATGCTTTTCCATGCCTGCAAGTAGCAATTACCATTTCACTCCCAGGTCCCCTGGCCTGAAGCTCCCTTAAAACCCTGGACCATTCACCTGAAGCACTACCACCCAAAGATGACTCCAGAACTCAGGGATAGTAATGTTTGCAGAATCTCTTCCTATTCCTACTGAAATTGGAGCATTGTTTTGATTGGCTGATTTGTTGTTAAGTTTCTGTTCTCCTTAATCTCCATGTCATGAATACTGAGAATATGATTTTTCTCAGTGTAGGATTTTTTTTTTATTATCATAAATACAACTGCCACATGATTGAGTCTTATAGAGTTCACTATAATGGGATTTTACCTGTATTTTGAAGGTTTTTTTTTTAATTGCTGATTCCATAGAGTGGTTTCAAATTTCTTGGATATATACTCTAAAAATTGAGTCCATTAACTATTATAATAACACTGATTTATGTAAATGATTTACATTCCTTACAGGCCATCAGTGTTCTCATTTATTTATATTTGTAGCTCTTTAAGCTATTTTATTTGCTGTGTGTGGTATGCAGGTTGACCAGAGACCTGTAGTGGAGTCATGGCATTTCAGTGACCTAAGACTTTTTGGATCTGGCCCAGTACTATCTCATGTTTCCAGTTCTAGGCCATTAGCTTAAGAGATAGCAGAGGAACCTAATCTTAGAAGTACCCTCACCTCTTGCAGCTGTTACGGTGATGGTGGCAGAGATGCCAGGTGAAATTGGAATACAGAACATATAGAGGAGCAGGGAACCAGGCTATGATTACACTTAGTATCTTGCCTCACCTCACAGCTTTTCTAAAGCTCAAGTAGTTTCAGAAGAATGCTGTTATAAGAAAGAGGCCTGGATTAGAAGTCAGGTAACCTGGTTTATAGTCTCACCTTTACCCTATTCCTTCAGTAACTCACTGAAGTCAGGATTGTGTCCTTTTCCACCTTTGTATCCTTAGCACTGTGCCTTGCACGTAGTGGGCACCTAAGAAATAAATGGTTGTTTTATTGAAATGATCTGATCTGAATGATCTTGGGCAAATAATTTCTTCCTTCTAGACCTCAGTTCCTTCATCTTTAAAATGAGCAGGCTTGATTAGATAATCTGTAGCATTCCTTCCAGTTATCTTTTAAACTGTTGTAGTCCTAATCTTAGATTCAGATGGCAAATATACTTTTATTTGTTTTTCTTTAAAGGAACTTAAGAAGTATGGTGTGACAACTTTGGTCCGAGTTTGTGATGCTACGTATGATAAAGCTCCAGTTGAAAAAGAAGGAATCCAGGTTCTAGTGAGTGTGTAGTATTTATAATTTTCCAACATTAAGTAAATATAAATACAAATATAGCACTAAATTATATAGTTACATAGGCCAGGTTTGTACTCAGCAAAGGCAAATTAGATTGCTAAAAATTGATGTTTTTTTTTAAATTGCTGATTCAGTATAGTGCCAAAAAATTTTTTTAGCAGTCTCATTTGACTCCTGGATTGTTAGTAAATTGCTAAACGGTCAATTCATATATGCTCTAAAAAGTCTAGAATTGCAGGGTGTTTTTATCAAATATATGTGAACTAAAAGTCCCTATTTATCTCAAGAAAATGGAAATTTGCATTTTTCTTTGGATATTAATAAATGTGATGTTCAGCTTTCATTTCTAGGCCATTGGTTTAAATCTAACTGGAAGTGATTTCCATCAGGTATTCATAAACTGTATTTGATAATAGTATTTCTTCTAAGTGCAGAATTATCCCTTTTTAATTTTTTGATAGTTTGGGAGACAAGGGGGAGAATCAGAAGGATCAGAAGGCAACTTTACCTTAGAAAGTAGTCAGTATAGATGATGACACTATGTTAGGTCTCTGAGCAGTTGTATCATGATTAGATGTTTTTAGATAACTAAATCTAATGATACAGCATTGGCTGTTACTAAACTAAAAATCAACTTCCCTTTCGCTATCTAAATATTAATGAAAGCAGTAGTGTATTGCCTTTTCTTTATAGATTACTTAAAGTATTTGTCAAGTATGTACATAGAAAGCGGTAAGGTAATGAGAACAGAGTTTTGACAATATGTTGTCACTCCTCATGAAAATTCTTCACGTGGTCTTTTAATCTCCAGTAGGAATTAAGTTTGTATAACAATGGTAACGTTAATCTCTTTTATAAGCTTCCATATGTCTGATTGTTAAATTTAGTTCAGTATTCCAGGGATTTCATTAATCTGGGTATTAAATGTACCTATAATCTCTTTATTCTTTAGTATATGATCTTTTTAAAATTTATTTTAAAATTTTGAACTTAAGTGACAACAGGGCATTTCTATACATATTGCAGAACACAAAAAGGATTGTTATGTAAAAGTTAAAATCTGTTTCATACTACTTGTTTTTAAAAAAAAGGATCTTATAAATTCCACTTTACTCTCAAAACTGCCATGTTTGGGCTTCTTGCTATTTGGCCCCCTTTTTTCGGGGGAGGGCATCACTATTGCTCTTTTTCTTGCTTAAACATCTCCCTGGTTTCAAACATCTTCCTCCCTACACCCTGGTTAAAAACTGAGAGAAAAAATTACTGTTGTAACAAGTAAACATAGTCAAATAAAACAAAGCTATACTGTGTTTATGTCCAGAAATGTATGTTCTTTTCTGTACCTTCTTGAGTCCATCACCCTTTTGTCAGGAGGTATGTAATATGTTTTATCATAGGCTCTCTGGAGACATTATTGGTCGTTGTATTGATCAGGGTTCTTAAATCTTTCAGAATCATTTTTCTTTATATTGATGTTTTCCTTGTGAAAAATTGTTCTTTTGGTTCTACTCACTTCACTGAATCAGGTCACTTTACCCAGGATTTTCTGAAATTGTCTCTGGATCATTTTTTTGTGGTGCAGTATTATTTTATTGCATTTGTTTGTTAAGCAGTTTGTTAAGGTGTGCTTCAGTTGTTGGGTGCCCCTCTAAGAGTCTGGGTCTTTTCTTTTTCGCTTTTAATCAGACCTTCAGGATCAGGAAGTTTGTTTTGCTTGATAGTCTTCTCTCCTTGATATTATCCTTCCTTTTAAACCTACGCCTCCTTCCATATCTACACGTGTTATTCTTTATTGAGTTTTGATGTATTTCTATACCAAACGCTGTGTGGGGGTGCCTGTGAGCATGCAGCCCTCTTTTATCTGGTTCAAACAAGAATGAGGTTCAACTGACGCCCTCAACCCTTTCTCTTCAAGAATATTTGTATACGATTACTTCCCATGCATCCCAATTAAAATAACTGGTAAATTCTACCAAATTACAAAGAAATAGCAAATTCCACCTCCTTTTCTACATCAGTATATTTCTTTTACCCTTCCTTCTCTTTCTTTTCTTAAAATCTTCAGAACAGACTCACTCTACCTCTAGAACCTCTCTCTTTACCTTCTCTCCCTGCTTTGAAGATATTAAGGTTTTAAAAGGATACTTATTTTTCCCTCTCTCTGAGTGTTGCCTCTTTACTCTGGCTGTTCCTTTGGGCTTTCAGGGTTTGTACCCTGGGGCTTTTTGACCTCTGTATACTTTTGCTGTCTCTAAATACAGCCTTGCAGGCTATACTGTCTTAGTTGGTTGCTCTGGAGAACTAAGTTTAGCTACCTTCCCTGGTACTGTTGGCAGGCCCCTTTATCCTCTTGTCCATGGGCTTCTGGCTGTTATTTTGTACAGTTCTTAGGTGGAAAAAGTCACTTATTGTAGTTTCTTACTGGATTTCTTGATCCTTTTCAGTGTGATGCAAATTTTGGGGTTTTATCATCTTAGCTATATGATAGTTGGACGTTCTGCCTCTGTTCAGGGAGCAGTCTCAGCCAGAAGTTCTCAGTGTTGGTCTGAGTGGCCATTACTGAAAGAGGCACCCTGCGTTCTACTAATGGACTCACAGAATCTTACTGGACCTCTTTTTTTTTTCTTTTTTTGGTGAAGCAGTTGAGGTTAAGTGATTTGCCCAGGGTCACACATCTAGTAAGTGACAAGTGTCTGAGGTCGGATTTGAACTTAGGTTCTGTTGACTACAGTCCTCTATCCAGTGTGCCACCTAACTGCCCCTTGGACGTCTTAAAGCTTTTCCAGTTCAGTGTGGGGCCTGTGAAAACTTTGAGCTCCCCGGTTACCTCTATCCCATGATTATACATCAGAGGAGACTTTATTAGAGATCTACGAAGTTACACTAAAGTTTGCTAGCTGATCCCCATACAGAATATTGCATCTCATGCTCTTCTCCCATTGCATGCATGAACCCCTTTACCCCCATGTGCCTGAAATGTACTTTTCCACCTTCACCTCTTAGAATTTCTAGCTTTCCTCAAAGCATAGCTCAGTTGCTATCTTCTACAAGTGGCCTTTATTGATCTCCATTCTGCCTCCTCCACCTGCCTTGTTAGTGCTTTCTCTCTTCATGAAATTATTTTGTATAACTTTGTCAGTACTTTGTGTTTATATATCTTTCTTGCATATAGTAACTACTTAACAAATGTTTGTTGAATTGAATTACAGGTAAGTAGTTTGCTTATGTATTTAAAATTAGTATGTTGACATTGAAGACTTCCATTTTGGAGAATTGAACACAATCTCTTTATAATTTATTGTGGTGGTAGTTCACATTTATATAGATCTATAATTTTTATAAAGCCCTTTGATTACCATAATATATGGTGTGTAGAAAGTAAAAGTGTCGATGTTCTTATTTTACAGATGAGGAAACTGAGACTCATTGAAGTAAAATGATTTACCCAGGGTCACTCAGCTAGTAAATTTCAGGGCCTGAATTTCATTTCAGGTCTTTATTGATTCCAAGTTCAGCATTTGGCCATACCATATTCTTTCTAACTTTTATGAGAATAAGTTAAATAAGCAAGATTCTGAAATTACCACTAGGATACCTTTTTACTTAATTAGCCCCAAATATACTTTTTTCCATCTTTCGGGAAAAAAAAATGATGTAGCATTAACAGCTTAGTAAATCCCCCTCCTTTTTTTTCCCCCCCTATTCTCCATCTCTTGAATCTACCTTCAGATAGTTACCACCCCAGTTCAGGCTTTCATAATTGGACCCTCAGCCTCTATTCTCTCCTCCAGTCCATCCTTCGCACAGCTTCCAGAATGTCTTTCTAAGGCACACTTCTGACCATGTTATTCACCTGTTCAAAATAAACTTTCAGGGCCAGCTGGGTGGCACAGTGGATAGAGCACCAGCCCTGGAGTCAAGAGGACCTGAGTTCAAATTCAGCATGAGATACTTAGTAGCTGTGTGACCCTGGGAAAGTTACTTAAACCCTGATTACTTCCAAAAAAACCAGAAATCAACTTTCAGTGGCTGCTTATTACTTCTGGGATAAAATGCAAACTTCCTACTCAGGCATTTAAGGCCCCATACAGTCTGGTTTCATCTTACCTTTCTCACCAGTCTTGTTTCATGTTCCACTTCATGTACTCTACATTCCAGCTAAACTGGACAATTAGCTGTTCCCCTGCACCTGAAATTCCATCACCCTCCCCTATACCTAGAAGGAACTTCCTTCAGAATTCTTATTATGTCAGAGCTTACATGGGTCTCAATTAACCAACAAGTAACACTGTTCTGTATTTCTTAAGTGCCTTTTATATGCCAGAGCTTGACTAGTTGCTGGTGATTCAAAGATAAAAAACAAAACTGTCCTTGCCCCTAAGAAGTCTCTGCTCTGTAAGGAAAAATAACATGTACAAGTATAAGTAAATGCAAAACATGTTGAAAGTAAACACAGGGCAGTAGAGGGAGGACTTTCTTCTGTGGCAAGGAGGTTCAGCAAAGGCCTTATTTATAAAGGTCTTGAATGGAGTTTTAAAGGAAACCAGGGGTGCTGAGAGATGAGAGGAGCCATTCCAGGGATTGGGGCCAGCCTCTACAAAGGTAGGGAGATGGAAAACGGAATGGTATGAAAGAGGAACTGAAAATAGACCAGTTTGACTGGAATGTAGAATGTATGTGAAAGTATGTACCAAGTCTGTGAAGGGAGGCTGGAATCAGATTGTGAAGATCTTAGAGGTGGTGGGGAGCCATTGGAACTTTTTGAGCAGGGGAGTGACATGAGTTTTTTTGTGCTTGTGGAATATCACTTTAGCAGCTTTTGAAAGGTGGTAAATCAGAATAATGAGGAGAGACAAGATAGAGAGATTAGGAAACTATTCCATAGTACAAGTGGGAGTAAGTGTCCCAGGCACTATGCTAAGTACTGGGGATACAAAGAAAAGCAAAAAACAAACAAACAAAAAAATCATTCCCTGCTCTAG